ACAGAGGAGGTATTCAGTCGCCCCCTGCCTCTGTCTGGTCTGTCCTAGCCTGCCTAAGATTGACTCAGCGTGACTCAGTTAAGTCTGTTCATCTCCGTTTGAATGGCCAGGTATTGTTTCACTTGCCGGGATCCTCTTACCATGGGCAACAAAGAGAGGCCACCATACCCTCCATACATACACACACACACACACACACACACACACACACACACACACACACACACACACACACACACACACACACACACGCTGAAGAACAGACAGAGTAGTAGGGTCGACAGCCTGAGAGCAGCAGTCACAATTTTTCCAGGCGTCTGCCTAGAAAGCTGCAAGGGATTCTAGTTCTTTCTAGACTTTCAGAGGAGCAGATATAGCATCTTCCTTCATGGTGGTTGGAGTTTCCTGCTTTTTCATGACAGAATTTTGTACTTGTTGTTATGTACTTCTGAAGTAAATTTGTTGGTGGGACTCAGTGTTTTCTCCTCCTGCTGTTTGGGGTCCATCTCTTCAGGTAGGGCAGAGCAAAAGATGAATGAGTGATGTTTAATTGTTTCTTGTTTCTAGCTAACTCACAAAAGGATGATTATTATCAATTCATGTCTTTTGATACCTTGCTATTCACCACGTCCACCTGGAAAGGCTCTGCTACACTGAATGAAAGGGAACTTTAACTAGTATAATTGCTAACACCTGTGTTTACCCTACTATCTCAGAATGGCTGCTGTGAAAAAATTCTATTATAATCCTTGTTTTGTTTTGTATTTCTATAAAAACTAATTTGAATTTTCCCAACTAGAGCTGCTATTGCATGCCCAGACACTGAGGTGGCAAAACCTCTTGAATTTCCTCTTCCAAGGTTTATTCTAGATGCTTGAAATAGGTCAAAATGGTTGCTATTTTAGAACTGAAATTGAAACATGTACACAAAGAAACTTAAGTTGACTTTTAAAGTACCAGTGGTACAAGTGGCATCTAGTGGTGAAGTGGCAGATTGCAACTAACTGAACACCACTTGCATCTGTATTTGATGACCTGGGAATGAGAGCGGTTTGTGAAATGCATAGGACAAACTACAATGGCTGTGAAATTTGCAAAAAAAATGGAAAAAGGCCCTGTTTGGCTTGTCCGTTCTAAGCTACTGTAGACACATCCTACATTCAGGTGATTATACACTAACATATTAATATTATATTCCATTTCTGCCAATAGATCCTCCTAAATGTATCACACTTTCAATTGTTTTTACATTGTCATCATAACAAATAAACTTAACTTGACATTCAAATTTCATTTATGTACATCTTAGGCAACTAGTGTATAACCGTATCCAGAAGTTTGACACAATAAGCTCCAGCTTACTAAGACCAGCACAAATATCAAGGACTGAAGGTGGCAATATAACAATGTCAAGAGAGCATGTGTATATTTTCCCACAAGTCTGCAATGTTCAAGTAACTTCAATAAAGGAAGCAGCAGGATAATAAAATAGCACTAGGTAATAACACTGAAGAAAACATACGTTCCACACAAAAAACAGCAATATCCAGTGTGTCACTATTAAATCAAGGACACAAAAAAAACTACCCAAATGAGGACGGAGGTCTTTTTTGTTCAAGTCAGAATCAGGAGGAAGCACAGTAGATAAGAAAGCTATAAGAGCGGAAGAAATGGTTCTCCATGACTTCCCCTCCATACATTTCCCACGTTGCTGAAGATTTGAGTTTGGAGCTTTGCTAGCACATGCTTTATAAAGGCCATTGGCTGCTGCACCTCCCATGCTATACTTGATATATAACTTTGGGAAAAAAATAAAACAAGGATCAAAAATACATCTTAGTTCTGTAGATGTGACGATATAATCTGGTGAGCTTTCTTTTCCAAAAAAGTGTTCCTCTGCGCTATGTGTCTTGACTTCAGTGTTGCTCATTAAGAAGCCTCAGTTGGCAAATAGTGTTTGTTTACATGCATTGGGAAAGTGAGTGGGTCCCCTCTGCGTCCTATCCTGATGGCCTTGACATGCTCTGTGTCTCTTTTCCCCTTTCATCACCGCTGCCCTCGGGGCTCCTCCTCACCCTGTTTCCTCACCATCTGTTTCAATTAGCCGGAGTGCAGGGTGGAGCACAGAGGTCGATCACACAAGCACAGAGCTGCAGGTGCACCTACAGTATTCTACACAGCTGACAAACAAGAGTCACTCTGTGCCTGTTAGGGGGCACACTGTCACAGGTGAAAGTATGAAGCTGCCATTTCTTTAAGGGAGCTGCTACGAGTGTTTGTGGGATGCCAGAACCATCTGGGCGTATTGAGATAGACAGTCAGTGACAATCATAGCATCAGAGATACAAACACAAGCCTGCAACCACATACATTTATTATGCACCCAACCTCACCTCCCCTCACCTATCCTCATCTCCCCTCACCCACTTATCATACTTCCACCTCTTACCTAACTCCCTCTCACACAGACTGGACTTCCCTCCTGCATCAGTGTGTCTGCTATGCATGTATATGAGTGTGACGGTGCTACTTCTCACCTTGGATTAGCAGTGAATGTCCCTGAGTTTTATTCTGCTGTGTAGTATGTTAAACTGAGCACAATGCTTAACTAGTTATTGATGAGTGAGTAAACCATGTCTTGCTTTACAACATGTGCATCTACATGTGCCTTGTGTATCATATTGTGTAAATACAAAAGTGTAATTCATCCAGAAAAAAAAACCTAATTAAAAGCAACTTTATGTAATATTTGGTATTTGTTGGGATTTGGCACACCCAGCTGCAACATCACTGCTGTAAATATGGACAGCTGTACATATGCATTTGTTATGATTATATTACTTATGACCAAAAACTAGCATCAGAAACTTTACTAACACAGCCAAACATCAAGAAAGTGCGAGCCAGCTAATATTACTTACTGGTCCAACAGTGAGATGCCCAGCTCGCCGTCTGTCTGCAGCCTTTTATTTCACCAAACTGTCGCCAATGAGCGAGATTTACTCTTGTCTGACTGCCTCTCTCTTATTAGCTTCCTCCTTTAACGTACTCTCTCAACATCTCTTCGCCCTGCTATTAGCCATAGAAGCTGCTGAGCTTGGTTACATTTCTCGCTCGCCTGTTCCGGCACTGGCATGATGCCGGGAGTTGATCCCCATCAGGCCCTGACACAGGCCTGCAAACTTCCTCCTCCTGGCTGTCCAAAGCTTCTGTGCCACTTATAAACACCAACACTCCCTCGGTGCTCTGAGCACCCAGTCCCGAGCAGAACGGCTAGGCTAACTAGCTCACAGCAGCTACATTTTGCAGCAGTTTACTGTCCATCAGGAAACTATGTAAATCACAGAGAGCTGAGGCGGAGCAGCCGGAGGACATCAGAGGGAAAACCAGAAAACATTTTCTCCATAAAATCTGATTTCATAGTTGGTGGCGTGTGCAGTAAAGCATTACACACTTATTCCCGGAGCCAAAAGTTCCATAGTGCAAGAACAGGCATATGGGGCACAGAGTGGGAATGACAGAGACACCAGTGACCCTATCACAAGTCAGTGTTGCATCAAAATGATTTCGAAGCTGTTATTTTAAGGTAGAAAAGTTACATAATGTTGCTTTAATTTGGTGAGTTTCAATCTCCTGGAGTAATGAGGACATCTGGTATGTAGGCCTATTCTGTCATACTCTGTACAAATTAAGTACATTGTTGTGTTATGACGAGGGAGGGTGCTGCAGAAATATGTTAGCCGAATTCTAGGTGGACATGTAGCATCTGTTACTGTCAGAATCTTGCTTAAAAGTGGTCTCAAATTAAGCATGAGGAGGACTAGAAAAGTTCTCTAACAGGTAGCTAAGGAAGTAAAAAAAGTAAATAATATAATAAAAGGTATGCTACAGAAAACTTTAAGTGATTACTGTGATATTTTAATGAGGTGTTTTGTGGCATTTTTAAGATGCCACCTTTGTTGCTCCATTGGTTTATGATAGGGAAAACTGCAATGAATAATCAACTTCTTTTAGAACAAAACTACTTTTTCTTGTTTTATAAGGTCAATGCACATTATATTTCACAATTAACTTAAAAAATCTAAAAAAAAAATAAAAAAAAACTATCATGAGGCAAAAGCTGTATAAACCCTGACAATAGACTGCTTCAACATTGACAATTGGGGGCTGCTAAAGTTGTTTGGGGAACTTGTTGAAGAGTTGCTTAATGCTTTTTCGATACTGACTAACACTGGGTGTGATGTCTGATCTCTCGATTCGATTCGTTCTGTCGCGATCGATTCGTTCCTCGTGCATCTGCTTCAAAAATTTTATTAAAGCATAGGTTTGCTGTAAGATACTGTATGGTTAATTCTAATTCAATTTTATTTGTATAGCGCCAATTCATAACAGAAGTTATCTCAGGACACTTTTCAAATAGAGTAGGTCTAGACCGAACTCTTTAAAACATAGTAGTAATAGTTCAATAATACAGTTTTCTATATTACTTCATATGGTTGTTTTCATCCAAAAATACAAGTAGTAAAACATAAACAATCTTTTTTATTTAACAGTCTGAACACAGCAGACAGCACACACACACACACACACACACACACACACACACACACTCAGTGTCTCAGCACTTTTCTCACCTATGATTGTGACCATGTCCATTGCTGCCGGAGTATTAGCTCCTCTGCTATTGTGTGATGGTTTTTTGCACCTTGCGATGTGGCATTGTTTGTACGAGGATAACGATGCGTTTTTATTTACTGATGCCGCGCTCACTAAATGACCGGCCTGTTGGCGATACTCATTGAGTATCCGATGAAAAAAGTCCAGTGGCTTATTGACATAACTGGGGTGTAAGGTCTCCAGGTGCCGTCTTAATTTGTGTGGTTTCATGCTGTCCGCTGCCCAGGGCTGGCCCAAGCCTCCATGGGGCCCTAAGCAAAATTTGATTTTGGGGCCCTCTATTACTGCCATATGTCTTTTTGGGAATGTGAATGTGTCCTTTTATAGGCAGTGGCCCTCTTAATACCTGTTCAGTCCTTTCTGAGTCTGACAGGAAAGAGGGACACTCAGCTGGGTCAACTGGCGGAGCTGCTGATCCCTGCTCCAAACTGGATGCTGAAGAAGACACATCAATCTCGATGACCAAAGATGAACAACAAAATGGACAAAATTATTAATCTCAGAATATTCTGCAGTACACTGAGCAATTATAAAGGTTGTTTTGTTGTTAACTTACCAGGTACAGCTGAGGTTGCAGAGAGGACAGTGGGCACAGTGGATGGAGCAGAGGATAGAGATGGACCTGAGATGAAAAACATGTCCCTTGTCATATGATTATATCTTATATTAGTATATCTTAATGAGATCATTTGACTAGAAATTAAATATATATGGTGACAGTTTTTGATCACCTGATTCATCAGCCTTGGCTGCTCCTGAGGAGGTGGATTGCCCCTGGGCTGAGTCAGTGCCTCCTCCTAAATATTTTAACAGTGCTCCTGGGCAAGTTTCATATAACGTATGAGCACAATAGAGAGTTGATGTAAAAGGAATATGTTTATTTACTCACATAAATTACTGTGCTCTGCAGCAAACAATTGCAATCAACATACCTCAAACTATAAGTTAACTAAATGAATTCATTAATGCAAAACCATATTGCTAGCAAACGTCACCACGTTTCTAATTAACTTTAGTCATTAAACATTTGTTATCAAACGCTGTTATCAAAAACGTTGTTTTGATGCCAAAAAGCGTCCCAGAATAAAATATATATACACTGAGAAACAACTTATTCAAAGTATTACACAAACACAAAAACGTTAGCTTGAATAGTAAGCTATCTAACCGACCCATAAGAGAGAAGTAGTAAGACGTTTTGAACTAATGTTAGCTAGCAAATTTGCTATTATAGGCTAACGTATTTGGAACAAAATAAAATAAATATCAACAATAATTAGGGACTTTCCTAATTTCAGGGAACTTTTCAAAATCTCCTTGACACCAAATGTTACATTACCAAGACATACCTTTATCTTGTCGTGTTTTCTCTTCTTCCTCTTTCTTCCTTTTCCTCTTTCTGCCCCTGAAGGGTAACTTAACTGTTAAGTCCTTTCTTGCGACATCTTTCACCTGCTCGTAGCTCGTAGCTCCTGGATGCTCAGTGCGCACGGCACTGCGCGGTTGGGAGCTCTGCACGCGTTACTAACGGAGCTCTGACAGTTCGAGCAGAGAGGCAGTAAGATCTACACTCTGTTAAAATCATATTGTTGCTGGGTTTTTTTGTACAAGAATTTAAATTTGATAATATATGAATCATCATCACTTACACATGGAAAAAAATAATTAATTACTTTTTTCTTTTTTAAGTTAATTGCTCTTGGGGGCCTCCTAGTGGTCACGGGGCCCTAAGCAGCTGCTTAGTTTGCTTATGCCTTGGGCCGGCCCTGCCGCTGCCACAGTTTTTAAACATAAAACACACACAGGTCTTTCCTCATTTCCGACAGTATTCACGATAAACCCAAAGGCTATGTAGGCTTCGTCGTATTTCCTGGTCTTATTAAGTTTATGCCGGTTACCGTCACTTGCTGTTCTTGCCTCTGACGTCTCCTCCGTTTTTCTTTTTACTCCTGTCAGAAACTTCTCCATCTCTCCTCCCCCGTCAGTCCCCCCTGCCTCTCACGCCCCACTATTTGAGAAGTACTGGTCTAGATGAAATGGGTTAGGCTACTGAGAATGTTATTTTTTATTTGAATGTTTATGCCGCGGCCGGAAAATTAACGAGCAACATCATTGCGTTATAATCGATTATGGTCGGCCACTGCATCGATGCAGCATCGTCCATATCTGCATCGTGATGCATCGATTATTTGATTAATTTCGACACCTCTAACTAACACTAGCAATTATTTGGCGTCATGTGTCTGACCACCTTATGAATTTAAGTATATTAATAATTCTCCTTTTAGCTCTGATTTGGTCTCCACTTACTCCTGTGCCTGGTTGCATAAATTGCCTACTTACTCAGACTTAAGTTTGTCCCTTATGAAGAATATTTCCCTGAGCTGATGGGTTCATTTAGGAACATTGCATAAAGTCTTGTCTCCTTGTGTGTTAAGACTTTTACGGTAGTTACTGTCATAATATAGCATATGTGCAGTTCTGTTACCATTGTTGTTCTTCACTATTGTTGAATTTTGTTCTCCTGATATGATATGGAAAGCACAAACACATAATCCTAAGTGAATTTAACCAAGCCATAACAAACACATCTAAGCAGAAGATATGGCAAGAAGCTAGCTAACTGACAAAATGAATGCAAGTAAGCTGTAAGCAAACCAATCATAGATGAAGTAAGGAAGAAATATGAAAATATTACTGTGACAGCAAGAAAGGAAATAAACAGGAGTTAAAAACTGGTGAGTTTCAATAAATATATAGCTTGTTATGTTAATGTATAGCTAACAAGCTACAAAGTTCAAATCTATACTCTCTACTAGTACTAGTTGTACAAGTTGTTATACAATCTCTCATAATGTCCAGAGGGCCTTGAATCACCATAAATTCAGCCATTGTCTGATGTTACACAAATGATTTCGCTTTAAGACACTGCTATGGGTCCCATATAATTTCTGAGGAAAATGGTTTCCGAGGACCTTCTCGAAAAGCATAAGGGAATACTTAAGTAGCAAAGGGCAAACAGAGATCAAAGGCTTTTCCCCTTCAATATCCAAAGGAAATCCTTATGCTGGTTTCATGCAACTCATTTTCTTCTGAGGCATCCTTTGATGAAACCTTAAGGGTAACCTTAGCCTAAGATATTTTATGTAATCGGGCATAGGGATTTAAGCTGCTAAATGCTCTTCTGTGTCCAACAAGTGTGACTGCCTTTTAGTACTGGGCAGGTAGCGCGAAAACGGCTGGAAACAACGCAGATGAGAGCAGTGGGACATAACCAAAACAGTGAAGTTGCAGTAAAACCAAAACAATAAACTGAAAGATGATAAATTACTTATATAAGGCAAATGAGATGAGAGTTGGGTCATTACACATACTGATTTCATTCATTAGTATAAAAATATTGATTAGAACAGCTTTAAATAACAACCTCAAAATGCATTCATACTATATGCACTAGAAGGGAATCCGAACACCATTCATTGCTTTGTTAAATTCTGTCAAGGTCAGCCACAGAGAAGATTTAGCTTCTAATTAGCTCTCTTACTGTAAGACAAAATACAAGCAAGTTGCCACGGTTTTTGTTTGCTGTCATGAAGTAAAGCAAAACATCCTTCCTTGCTTGAAAGAGGCAGGCAGACCAATCCAGAACATTTCTTTCTGGACGGTGCAGTCACGTCTTGGCTCGAGGTTTGGAGGCTTTTTAAGCTCTCAACCATGAGAGGTCAGATCATTTTTAACAAAGAAAACGTATAACAAGGCTTTTGAACAGTTGGAAGTTGAATCAGAATCACTTTCCAAAATTGTCAAACTTAGGGCCAAATTTGAACTCTGAGCGGTTGTAATTGTACATCCAGGTCCAGATGTCTGCCAGTCTGTGTTCCTGCTCCCACACAGGAATAAGCGACTGAGTCATTTCAGGCCTGAATCCATCTCTCTGTTCTCAGCAAAAGGCTCCCAGGCTGCTGGCATGTAGTCGTGAAGGTGATCAGAAGCCTTTAGATCTGTACATCTGTGTGCCCTGCAAATGTTAAGTGTTGCAGCCCCCTACCAACAAACGACTCTGTTTGACCCACATGCTCCACCACTGAAATAAAACAGAGGACCTCTACGTTTGTGATTGGCCTAACGAATGGCAGTCAGGTCAACCAATGACACGACGCTATTGAGGGCCTCGAGGGATGAGTGATAGAGGATGTGATACCAACAGAACAGAGGCAGATGCTCTTTTGACTCCCTGTCAGACACAGGGAGAGATGCTAATGACATTCCCCCTCAAGCACTGAGGAGATATAGAGAGAGAAGCACTAATGACTCTCTATCTCTCTGGTCACTAGCAAGCCTGCAGACCGCTTGTTAAATCTCACAGTAAAGTAACAAGATGTTATTCAGAATGTTTGGGGGCAACTGCTTACAGAATTGTCTGGCAATTAAAAGCATATGTGCAATTAACAGGGTCCATGATGACGTTTCACATGGGCATCCCCAGCGAGTGTTTCCCCTTAAAGCAACATGATGTAAGAATTGGAGGTTTTTGCAACCACTATCAGTTAGAGTCCTATTCACTTTTACACCACTGTTACAGTGGATGTGCCTAAGAGTTCAAGTCTGATCTGGATGATATTTTATATAGAAAATATTTTCTGGTTTTCCCTCTGATGTCCTCCGGCTGCACTGCTTCAACTGTCTGTGATTTATACATAAATCACAGACACATACTGCTGCTAATTGTAGCCCCAACAAGTAAACCTAACTGTCCATCAGGAAACTCAGAGTTTACACAATTATTTTCTCCATAAAATATTGTCCAGTTTCACAACAATCTGGGATTTAAGTTATAGAGTTGTGTTTTTGTGCAGTTATCAGTGCAGCCCACCCAGAAACACAGTATCATTCCAGCGTGTATTGTTTTTCCAACTTAATTCTTAACAATCTAATTCAGTGTCCCGTTTCATATATGGTGGAAGACAGAGTAATTGGCTATATTGGAGTCTCTTCCTCAGAGAATTCTTCAATGATTAAGGAAATTATTATGCTCCAGTGTGTGATACAGATAACACTGATATACATGTGCAGAGACACACACATAATGCATTTACACATACACACACTTACTGGAACTCCAGTCATCAGAAGTTACTGTAGGAGGAGTAACAGAGAAATTACACATGAAGCTGCTTCCAGTTATTCAAAGCTGTTATTCAAAGGTGTATAAACATCCCTCAGACTTGTGTTTTATTTCTATCTGCCTTGTGACGTGGTGTGGTTTACACAACCTTATAATACTACATAACCAAAAAAACAGCTAATACATATGAAAAAAAAATTTAATAGCTGAGAAATATTACAAACCCCTTCCTCTCTGGAGAAGAATTCAGCATCATAAAAAAACAACAGCTTTATCTAATATCCTCCTAGGTTTTTCCATAAATGTTTTCAGGGCAACAATAAGCATTGAGGCTTCACAAAGAAGAATTTCTCCCTCTGTCTTATATGGTGTTTCTCTCTATAGACATGACGCTTTAGGTGAATTCTGAAGCTCTGCCTCTTCTTCATCCCTCACTGGCTGAGAGATGCCTATAAGGGCAGCCACCCCTAAGAATGATTGACTGTTTGTCTCCAACTCCCTATCAAGGATGAGACGAGTTCTTTGGGGTGAGAGTCAGACTCATCTGTCACTTTCAGATCCCCTCTTATTCTGTCCCACTCTGCTGTTAATATTTCACAAATGTTGGGTGGGGAACTGAAAAAAACCCACCAGGACTGAGGTCAGTGAACTTACGGGTAGTCACTGTAAGAGGTTAAATTCTGTGCGTCTGTCTGTGTGTGTTCACAAAAAGCTGAATTTTTTTGGTTTTACATTATTTTGAGCTACAATTTCAGTACATGAGCACAGAAATTAGACACTGACAGTGAAATTCTCTATGGATATTTCAGCAATGCTATTGGAAACAACCAGAAACAGAGTTTTACAGGTGGCCATGTGAAAGCAAACTGTAAGTGCACTTTGATTGAAGCATATTGTTTTGTCAGAGAGAGAGAGATGTGATGGAGCATGTTTTTGTCGAAATTGTATCTGAATTTGATTTGCTTTCATAAGAACTGAGTCAGCACATAGAATACCTCAGTTCATATTTTGCTGTGTTGTATTTGCATAGACTTGAGTTGACATTTAGCCTCTTCTCTCAACAGATAGTATCTGATTACGTAAATTTTCCTCAGTCTACAGGCATGATATGATCTTCTCTCGAATGTGACACCACACAGAAGCTCACAGGGTTTAGAGTTCACTGTTTTGATTTAGTAATTTAAATAATTTATCATGCAGATTAAAGTGTAGGACCAATTATTAAAACAGCAGCACATCATGATATGGTCTCTTGCAATACATTATCTATTGAGAGTCACCAATATCATGATGAGTGGTGAAAGAAGTATTCAGATCCTTTACTCAAGTAAAAGTAGTAACACACCAATATAAAAATATAAGATAATAAGTAGGCGAAAGGTTCTGCGTTTAAAAGCATAAAAGCACTGAGAGCAAAATGTGCTTTAAAGTATCAAAGATTAAAGTACTTACTATGTAGCAGGTTAGTGTTATTTTATAAATTCTATTATTTTGTTATTATTACTGAAGGGTTAACATGTGAGAAACATTTTAATGTTGCAACTGTAGCTCTAACTCTCTACTGCTGAGTGGTTTAATGTATAACCATGCCTTAAAACTATAAAAGAATCATAGGTTTTGTATGTTAAATTTCCATCCTAATTCATTCAAAGTAACCAAACTGTCACTCTTAAGGAAAAGAGTAAAATATTTTTCTATTTTGTTGTAATGTCAAGTACAACTATCAAGAACAAGGGGCAGAAAATGGAAATACTCAAGTCAAGTACATGTGTCTCAAAACTGTATTTAAGTACAGTATTTGAGTACAACATTTTCCCCCCACTTATGATACATTCTCTTGCATATACAACAAGTATGCAGTGAGCTGCTGGGAGTATTCGAAAGTCCAAGACTAACCGTATTATACGGTTTCTCAGTGATCAATCAAATTCACCAAAATTAAATACACTTCATAATGCACAGAATAAATTGAGATAAATTGTCTCTACTTATCTTTCGATATATAACACAATACAGAATCATCACCAGTATCTGGATGCCACTGTTACTTATCATAGGTAATGTGTCATTAGGGTATGGCTATGCTCTTATTCCTACTAGTAATAAGTTATGGTCCATGTATTAGTTTTGTAGAGTCACATGAGTACCTTAAGGGCATGTCAGAGGCTCTCAGCTGTGTTCTGAGGTGTTTAGTGTCTCTGCTCCCTGGTTCACCCCTCCTGCTGATCTAATCGTCACTGTAATGACAGTGTTGACTTTGCCGCCGGCTTCACTGTCTCTCTCATTTAGTCTCTCCATCCCTTTCTCCTTTATGTGTCTGCCCTCTATCTCTCTATCTTCAAAGATTGATTCAGCATTTAACATTAGCATGACCTCAAAAGTGCACTCAAGGAAAGCGTCATTGCTCTACATGTTTTATTATCATACTACTATTTGCTTCATGTGTCTTTTCCCCCCTCTGCCTCCATATTTCTTCCATTTTATGTAAAGGCAACCTTTTCTGGCCACTATGAGCAAGGTCTCTATGTAATAGCATTTGGCAGAGCTACTCATTCTGGTGAATAACATAACTGCTGCTAGATGAGAAGTATGCTTACATTTAATTATTGTGCATGTTGATCAATAGAACAAGAGGTTTAATAAAGTCATGGGTTATTTTGTAATGTAATTTTCCTGCAACCACCCCAGCATTACATTTCACTCAGCTTATCACAGGGGAATGCGCATTACGATTAAAAGTCTGCTATTGGGTGACTCTAGGCTGTAGGCATGGCAAACACTATATTGTAATTGAATCCAATGTTCTCCGTCACAGAACCCTTGCATGAATCATGTTGTTGTGCGGTGGAGCAGATATCTGTGTATACATGTGCATGCGTAACATGGATAGGGTTGCTGTATAAAAACAAATTGACATATTACCCCCCTTAGGGTTAAACAAAACTTGAGTGAAGAAAGGTTATGCCTTGAAACACAGTTCTCTGAGCACAAAAGGATGTAAAGAATATAATAGAGGATGTATGTTGTATGTATGTTATTCAGATTTTAAGCCCTCTGATACATTTGTGATATCTTGCTAGATATAAGATTGACTTAACTTGACTTTACAAAGGCAGTGGGGCCCTCTAATTGGCTGTAATGTAATGTAAAATCTACCCACTGACCCCTGTGGAGCCAGGCAACCTTTTATGGAACAGGCTTTATAAATTGCTGTCATACCCTAACCTGGTGTCCACGGTGAGTTGAGGAGCAGCCAAGCAACAGGGTTCCACCTGGGCTGAAGTGAAATGCACAACCTTGGCTTTATTTCATGCAGGTTTTACCCTCTAATGGGCTCTATAGACTTAAGAGGGTACAGTCAGATGCTTGTCCCTGCTGTGACACCAGCAAAACACAAGGTTGCACCTTAGGTTATATAAATAGGCAGGCTCGTGCTCTATCACCCATCTGCAGTATGCAATGGCATTTCACACACCTCTGTGCCTCAGCAGTTTGTTCAGTTAAATATTTGTGCAGCAGATTTGTGTAGTTCCAACTCAATTTATTTTTTTCTCTTCCTATTTTGCATCACTGTATGGGTCGGAGTCTGTCTCAAGGTCCATATTAAGCATTGGGACACCTAATCTGTGAGTGGCATGCTGTGAGCTGTTGTTGGCCTGCTCCCTCCTCTTCTGCATCGCAGAAGGTAGATGAAGAGTGGCTGTGTTTGTCAAGTCCAAATGAAATTATCCACTCACCCAGGCTTCCTCAATTAGAGACCAGACCTGGAGACCTAGAGAGGACTCTTGGATTCGCAGAAAAACATATGCAACTCTGCAACTTCTGTTGAGTCATTTTTACTTGATGTTGTACCACCTGGATGAATAAGATGAATCTATATTTGACAGGTTGTGTTGTATTGGTTCATTATTATATTATACTTACAGACCTGTAGGTGGGAGAGGTTTTTGTGATTGCATCGCACTGTGTTGAAGCCACTCTTGTGTCAGTTTGACCTAAAGCTCTATGGTCTGCAGTGACTGCAACTTGTGTCACAGGCTTGGGCTATAGGATTGAGCTTTCCAGCTCTGCTTTACACAAAATACTTAATCTATGCTCACAGAACTAAGACTAAAATATCTAACCATTCTTGTTTTTAGATGGTTAACTTGTTCATCCATCCATTGCGCTCTTATTAGCAGCCCCTAGCACTCAGCAGTGGTTAACTCAATTAAGTAGCCCCATTATAATCAGTGAGAAAGGCAGCCTGAGCTATCATGAAGCTGATGGAGGGCTCCGTCGCAGCTATAACCTGCTGTTTACATGCAAAAAGAACTCACTGGCCTCTATGTGCTTTAGCTCAGATGGAAAAAGGCACAGTCAGACATTGATTGAGGAGCAGCAATTTACATGCTGCAGAGATGTGGAGCAAGGTCTCTGTAAGTCTTACAGCTTCTGCTCCTGGGGCTGCAACGCAGAAACACACATTAGTAAACGGCAGCATCAGATGTGTTGGATGAAAAGGATAGACAGCCAGGTTCCTGTAGAAACAGACAGAAGAACACGCAGACAGACAGACAGAAGTCATGCACAAACCAAGTAAATTCAATTACGGAGAACCACAGGGGAGCGTATAAAACAATACGGTTGTTACACTTTCATTATCAGCAATATCAACAATCCTTAGCCATTACAAATGGAGGAAAATTACTTTAATATTATGAATTTGATGATTGCAGTCTCCTTCTGAAACATATTCAATTTCTGATTAAATTATTGTTTTGTTTTCATATAAAATAGCCTCACCTAATTAGCAGTGTTAAAGCTGAGTTCTGAGGGTTTGTCTTTGAAGTCCTCTGCATACAGTTAGAAAAATGCGTCTCATCTGTGGAGCAGTTCCTTCTCTCCGCTCTGTGCCTCGGTAGCACATTCACTCTGATCACGATTCAGCTGTTGGCCAAAAACAAAGAAAACAGAAAAACTCATTACTGCTCTTCTGGCCTTCCAGTTGGATTTATTTTTCAAGGGGGAGTCTGTAAAACATTCCAGAAATAAATGCAGCCTGTGTGCGTCTGTTTTTTGTGTGTGCTTCTTTCCATGTATGAATCAGTGATGCTTAGTCCTGTCTCATAGGGTAATAAGACCTCGTAAATCTGACATAGATATGGGTGTTGGTCTTGCCCAAATATGGGTTTCCTTTTTTAGTCTGTTTCACAATCGCCATTTAAACTTGGATATTTTTACCAGACTTCTGTCTCTGTATTAGTCCTGGATCCATTGAATTCTGCAAACGTTCCCACATGTAGAGACAACAGGCTGATGTATGAATGCAAAATGTGTAGCTTTAGATCCTAAAATCTTTGGGCAAGGCTAACACAGTCCTACCATTCTGATTAATCTGTCTCTGTCAGATCTCTCAGATGTATTTCTCTTTATCAGATCTGGACCCAAGTTGTGCCCTCATTGTCGCTCTCCGCTTTGCCAGAAGTGGCCACTGGATAGACATAGCCAGACAGAGGTCTCATAGCCTCTCATCTGATAGCTGGGCAGAGGTCCAGACAATCCCTTTAGAGGCAGCAGATCTCTGTCTTCTCTTCTCCTAACTCTCAGTGGCTCAACACCACCAAACTATCAGCCAATAGCTTTATGAGGCCAGAGTCAAAGCTGAGAAGCAGGCCGATAGGGGGAGTATTTAGTGCTTGACACAACACTTTGGTGGGATTCTTTGTGTGTGTATGTGTGTGAGAAAGAGAAAAGAAGAGAAAGTGAGATAAAGAAGAGAGAGGAGAAGGACAGACGGAGGGAAGGAGAGAGATGGTTTGTCCTTGTAGAGTCACAGTGCCCCCACTACAATAGAAAACCAAGAAAAGTGATTGCATGTAAGTATGG